CCCGACGGTCTGACAGGACACCCCACAGCATTTTTGTGAAAAAGCATTGGTTTTTTGATGTTTTTATGTTGAAATGCAAACACACGGTGTTCGGTAGGATTCTGACATGAACGCGCGAGTGTGCTCTTTGTGGTATTTTTTGCACAGGATTCGCGGCCTGGGTGCATGACAGAGCATCGCGAGTGCACCGCGCGATGACGTGAAATCGCTGGATTTGACAGAACTCTTAAGATTCCTATGGTTTTCCTATGATTTCAGCAAGAGAGCCCGGGCGGGAAATTTGTACAATTTTTGTGAAAAAGCATTGGGTTTTTGATGTTTTTATGTTGAAATGCTTGCAAACACACGGTGTTCGGTAGGATTCTGACATGAACGCGCGCGTGTGCTCTTTGTGGTATTTTTTGCAATGGATTATCGCCGTGGACGACAGGACGTCCATGTCGAGAGGAAAAAATAAGAAAAATGTTGATTTCATATTGGTTTTTTACAAGTTAGGATGGGACCCCCCGGATGCGGCCCCTAATGGCCGGCCTGAGGGGGGAGTAGGAGTATATTCTAATAAGGAATAAGGATAGGAGTAGGAGTAGGAGTAGTTGTAGTAGTAGTAGTAGTAGTAGTAGTAGTAGTAGTAGTAGTAGTAGTAGTAGTAGTAGTAGTAGTAGTAGTAGTAGTAGTAGTAGTAGTAGTAGTAGTAGTAGTAGTAGTAGTAGTAGTAGTAGTAGTAGTAGTCGTAGTCGTAGTAGTAGTAGTAGTAGTAGTAGTAGTAGTAGTAGTAGTAGTAGTAGTAGTAGTAGTAGTAGTAGTAGTAGTAGTAGTAGTAGTAGTAGTAGTAGTAGTAGTCGTAGTCGTAGTAGTAGTAGTCGCAGTAGTAGCAGTAGTAGTAGAGTAGTAGTAGTAGTAGTAGTAGTAGTAGGTGTAGTAATAAAAGTAATGAAGGAAGTCTGGGGACGATATTTTGAGCATTTTGGACTAATTTCTGGCGCATTGTTGCAATGCTTTTTTATATTTGTTCGTCAAAATCCGCCTACAAGGGGGACATGCCCGACCTGAGCCGAGGCTCGTCGCGGCCCGGAGAAAGCCCCTTTCATTCTTGGGTCCGCGCTTGCCTTCTGACCTGGTTGACCCAGAAGGGGGTCCAGCTGAAAGGGGGTGGTTCAATAGATCGTGTTGTACTGAGAATAAGACCGAGGGTCCGAGAGCGCCTTCCTCTGCAGGAGCACCGAAAAAGGACGTCAAGGTGGTCAAACGCCTCGCTGGTTAAGCCGACGAAGAATTGCAAAGTCCAACCGTTCGTTTATGTCCAAAGTTTTGGCTTGACGCCGGGTGCGGTGCATCAATTTCAGCTTGACCGAACAGGTTGATTGCGCCCCTTGACGTCCGTTTGGCGTGTTCTGCAGACCTGACCCCACAGCCCTATTCAATGTTGCACATGCGTTGCGCCAGGGAAATGTGTTGCGCTGTATTGCAACGAATGCATTGCACGCGAAAATGCAGCAATACATTTGCGCCCGGACATGTATTGCGCAGCCCGCATCTATCGCAACCCCACAAATCTATTGCACCAAATCTATTGCACCACCCCCTTTTCGCTGGACCCCCTTTGGGTCAACCCGGTCCTGGTAGCACGTCGCCACAGCTGGAGTCGACTCCGAGATCCTGGCCAGAACGTGCCCCAAGAGAGGTCCAGGCAGTGGTGGCTTCGGTGCGTTTTTGTTTTGTTCCCCCGATTTCGTATCGCGTCACTCCATCTTATCCTCCCCTTCCCGCCGCCGTCTCGTTCCCCCACGTTCTCGTCCTGCGAACCCCGACCCCTGCGGATCCAGTCGACACTGGGGCGACAGACAAACCCGCTCGGGTTCGCTTTGCCGCAGACCTCGTCCAGATTCTGAGCCCCAGCCGGTTTTCCAGAAGTCTGATTCTCGGGCTTACGCCGCACCGCCGACCCCTCGGGGGTGCAGTGGGCACACCCCGCCGCCGTGCCTGGGTTGCGGGTTTTACGCCGCTCGGATGGCTGATGGTGTCGCGTGGGAGGCGCGTCGGGAGCGTCGTGGAGGCAGTTTTTGAACCTGTTGGGATGCTCAGCCCCGGCCGGCTGCTCGGAAGTCAGATCTGCAGGGCGGGGTCGCCTCGTGTGCGTTCGGAGTCTTCGCGCGGACGTCTCGGGCCCGTGCTGAGCCGCGCGCTGGGGAGATCAGGAGGGAAAAAAACACAGACAGAATGAATCGCCGATCCCCAGGAAAATATGAAAAATATGGGAAGTGGGGGGAAGGCAGAAACCCAAAACATGTAGGAAAATATCGGGAGTCCTGTTATTTGCGTCTGTTTATTTGTGTGTCCCAGGGCCCCTTCAGGAGAGGCGTCCACCGCCGCCCCAAGCCATCCGCGCGAAGACTCCGAGGATGCACGTGCGTATGCGACTTGTGTTTTGCTTCCTGCGCGAGCGCAGGAAACTCCCTCGGCCTAGGCGCAGGGGCTTGGGACGCCAGGGAGGTTGGGCGGCAGTTGAGGCCCTCATCGCCCAGTTGTTCTGAGAGGCGCCGACCCTCATCATCGTTATCATCGTCGTCATCGTGATCATCATCGTCGTTAGGATCATCATCACCATCATTACCATTACCGTCGTTCTCAACATCGTTATCGTTACCATAGTTATGGTCCTTCCGTTCTGGCCCCCATCGCACGATGCCTCCATCCATATAATTCCCAACCCTCCCTTCGTTTTGAATAGAACACTGGTCGCGCGTCTTCCCCATCCCCTCCTCCACCTACCTCCTCCTGCATCTTGTGCGTCCTCCCGCATCTTCTGCGTCATCCTGGGAGCTGCGAACTGCGCAACGGTCGCCACTTTCGTGGGCTCCTGGGAGGCACCGCGCAGTCCCGGCAGCGCAGATCATTTGAGACCTCGCGGCGCCCTCGGGAGCTGCGAACTGCGCAACTGTCAGGAGGGGGGGAAAAAAACACAGACACAGTGAACCGATGGGAAAATGTTGGAAGTGTGGGGGGGGGGGGGGAAGACGACAACCCGGAAGATACAGTCGGGGCGCTGAAGAAGGAACCCTTTTAGTTTGGGAGGGGCTCAGTGTTCCTTAGTTGTTTTACAGTTTGCCTGAGGTTTTCCTTCGGCTTTCGATGGGAAGTCGAAGTTTGACTTATGGAAAAAAAGGGGCCTCGTTCCTGATGTATGGTTCCTGAGGTCAACGCCCCAACTGTATGAGAAAGGATGGGGACTCAGGGGACTTGTGTGTCGTTCTTTGAGTGTGTGTGTGTCCCCCGGAGAGAGTGGGACGACGTGGGAAGTGGAGGAGGAGGAGGAGGAAGAAAAGGAGGAGCAGGAGGAGGAGGAGGAGGATTTTTCCCAGGGTTTCCTACAGGCCGACGACCTAGGAGGAGGAGGAGGAGGAGGAGGAGGAGGAGGAGAGGAGGAGGAGGAGGAGGAGGAGGGAGGGGAGGAGGGAGGAGGAGGAGGAGGAGGAGGGAGGAGGAGGGGAGGGAGGGAGGGAGGGAGGGAGGGAGGGGGGGGAGCTGCGTGTCGTTCTTCTGCGAGCCCCCGGGGCCCCGCGAGCCGCGCCGCGGCCGCCGCTGCCTTTGGGCTCCCGGGCGGCGCGGCCGCGCGCAGCGAGGGCGGCAGCGCGCCCGCACGGCGCGGGCCCCCGCGGAGCGCCGGCGGCGCCGGCCCGCCGTCCGGCGCGCGGCGCGGCCGCAGCACGGGGCGCAGCGCGGAGGAGGGGAGGAGGGGACGAGGAGGAGGAGGAGGAGGAGGAGGAGGAGGAGGAGGAGGAGGAGGAGGAGGAGGAGGAGGAGGAGGAGCAGGTGGGGGAGGAGGAGAGAGAGAGGGGAGGCGGGGGAGGAGAAGGGGGGAGGCGAAGGAGGAGGAGGAGGAGGAGGAGGAGGAGGAGAACGAGGAGGGGGAGGAGGAGGAGGAGCGTTCTGTTTGTACAGTGGAGCATGCATCAAGGGCGCCCTCGAGGGCGTCTAGTTATTCGCGCTTCGCGGTTCGGCTCCGATTCCTCCTCATCCTCCTCTTCTCCCCTGGGAGGCGGCGTGAGAGCGCGAAGTTTTTCGCACTTCGCGCTTCGCGCATCGCGAAGCGCGAAGTTGGGAGCCCTTGGTTCTGCTTGTACAATGGAGCATGCATACAGTCGGCCCGGACTAGTAGGTCGACCCTGCCAGTTCAAGGGTACCCGCGTGTCCTGTGCCTCGCGACACGTGCTTTCGTGCACTCCTATGGTGATGTGGCCCTCGGAAGGGTCTTGTGTCCTCTCGCGTGTCCTGTCCAATCAAGGCCGACGGAATGAATCGTCGCCTCGCGTGGAGAAGGGGTTAGGTACGGCTCGGGCAATTACAGGGGAACGAACGACGACACAAACCTAAGATAACTCGGAGGTCCGCGCGGATTTTTCGGATCCGCGCTTGGACCCCCCTGGCGGCGCTTCTGGCGCCGGCCCTGGCGCGCTCCGCGCGCCAGGGAGGGGGGTCCAGCGCAGATCCAAGAAATCCCCGCGGAGCGCCAAAAGTTGATGTTTGTAGCGTTTCTCTTCTTCTGAAATAGCCGTCTCGCGTTAGGTATGGCTCTGGCAATTACTTTCACACCCTTGCTTCTACCCACTGTTCTCCCCGTCCGCTCATAGCACCACCTCCCCATCGGAGCCCAGAGCGTTATCACTGTGTTCCTCCCCCTCCCCGCTCCTCCGCCCCAGGTGATGAGGACGTGGGGCGAGATGGACGACGCGTCCATATGCGAGACGCTGAGAGCATACGGGGTGGAGCTGTGAGCTCCGCACGTCCCACCGTCCCCCCTCAGCCCTCCAGGAGCACGGGGGAGGAGGACGGGGGAGGGGGGGAGAAAAGGAGAGGGGATGAAGACAAGGTGGGCGCGCTCGCGCCATGTCTGACGTCCTATCCCTCCCGCCCACCCCTTCCCGTGGCCCTGTTCGTTTTCTCTACCCGCAGACGCGCGTCATAGCCGACCCGGAACTCCACAAAAGACCCGATCGTGCTGTGCACAGTCCGATAAGGGAAATTCGTGGGGCCTGGGGGACCTGGGGGACCCTTGTGGCCTGTGGAGCCTGTGAGACCCGCGATGCCTGTGGGGCCTAATGGAACTGGGACCCGTGAGACCCTGCGGGGCCTGTGGGGCCCGTGGCACCGCTTGGGATCTGGGTTGGTCCCTGTGGCTGGGCTGCTCAGGGGCTGCCCACCCGTCGTGGATTGGAATCGCATCACCCCCTCGGTGCTAGGGAAAAGCACTCGTGCCGTGGATCTGGGGACCTGTGGGACCTGGGGGACTTCTGTGGGTCCTGTGGAACATGGGACACCTCTGGGACTTGTTGGGCCTGCGGGACCCGGCGGACCCGTGGGACCTGTGGGGCATGCGAGACCTGCGACCGACAATTGTGGGACTTGTAGACTTTGTCTGGCCTGTGGTCTCCGGGGGACACCTGCGGGACGACCTGTGGGTCCTGTAGGACCTGTTGGGCGTGCGAGGCCTGCGAGACCTGTGTGATCTGCGAGACTTGTGGGATCTAGAAAAGTGGCCCACGCTGGGGGGGGGAGCGACACTCTGAACGATGGGAGCACAGCATCGATCCCAAAGTGAAGCACACGCTGCAGCGAGAGCACCATTCTTGAAGAACTGAAAACAATCACATTGCAACACACCAAATGAAATACCAGTTCGGCCCAGTCCTACGTGGAAGAATAACAGGACACGGAGAGGGGCGGTACATCTTCAGGACAGGGTCAGGGGAGAGAGGAAAGTGGTTCCCCAAACAACGCTTGCACTTGACAGTTTTTACTTGTACTCTGCCGCCCGTCGCCGCCCGTCGTCTGTGCCGTGTCGTCGGTCTGGCGACGATGTATTCGCCGTCGCCGCCCCGTCGCCGCCTCATCGCCGCCCGTCGTCTGGGCCGTGTCGACGGTCTAGTGGCTATGTGCTCGCCGTCGCCGCCCCGTCGCCGCCTCGTCGCCGCCCGTCGTCTGGGCCGTGTCGTCGGTCTGGCGGCTATGTGCTCGCCGTCGCCGCCCCGTCGCCGCCTCGTCGCCGCCCGTCGTCTGGGCCGTGTCGCCAGTCTAGCGGCTTATTTATTCGCCGTCGCCGTCTCGTCGCCGTCTCGTCGCCGCCCGTCGTCTGGGCCGTGTCGCTGGTCAGGCGGCTATGGATTCGCCGTCGCCGCCCCGTCGCCGCCTCGTCGCCGCCCGTCGTCTGGGCCGTATCGCCCGTCAGGCGGCTATGTGTTCGTTGTCGCCGCCTCATCGCCGCCCGTAGATTCTCCTTTTCTAAAAAGAGAATAGACTCTACCCCCCCACCCCCCCGGCGTTATCCGTTCCCCTTTCGGGTATGTAAATCATGTATGCTTCTGACCACATGTCCATCCTAAATATGAATTTACACTATCCCAGGGGGCCGGGACCGGTCTCCCTGAGGTTCCCTTGTGAAAAGCCATACGCGGGGACATTTTTTGCTCCAACATAAGACTTGTTCACGAATCCCTTGCAGAAAATTGGACAAAGTGCACACGCGCGCGTCGTCGCGCGCGCATGCCGAAATCCTTCAAGAACCTTCGGTGTCGGAAGGATTTCGCAATCGAGTTTCCGAAAAACATACAAGAACACAGAGTTTCGCAACATTGATTCGCTAAAAAAGCTTACGCGCGAGCTCTTGCGAAATCTTAAGAAAAACATAGGTTTTTCAAGACTTTCACAAAATGCTACCACACGGGCTTCGCGCGCGCGCATGTCGAAATCTGTCGAACGCCCTTGCGCGTGTGCCGTCGCGAGAATCCTCTGCAACAAATGAGACGAAGTGCAGACGCGCGCGTCGTCGCGCGCGTATGCCGAAATCCTTCAGAACCCATCGTTTTCGGAAGGATTTCAACATCGCGTGTCCAAAAGACCTACAACAACACAAGGTTTCGCAACACGGATTTTCAACAAAAGCGTGCGCTCGCGCTCGTGCGTCGTCGTCGTCGCCGTCCTCCCTCCTCCCGCGTCGTCGTCGTCGTCGTCGCCTACGTCGTCCTCTGTCTTTCCTCGTGTTCGTCGTCGTCGTCCTCTTTGGCGTCGTGGTCGTTTCCGTCGTCGTTGTCGCCGTGGTCGTCCTTCCTCCTCCTCCCTCGTCGTCGTCGTCGTCCGTCGTCGGCGTCTCGTCGTCGTCCCTCCTATTTCGTCGCCGTCGTCGTCGTCGTCGTCGTTGTCGTCGTCGTCGTCTTCCCTCCTCCCTCGTCGTTGTCGTCGTCGGCGTCGCCGCCCTTCCTCCTTCTTCGTCGTTCGCGTCGTCGCCGTCCTCCCTCCTCCCTCGTCGTTGTCGTCGTTGTCGTCTTTGTCGCCGTCGTCGTCCTCCCTCCTCCCTCGTCGTCGTCTTCGATGGGGCGCCCACCCAGCGCGCATCACTAGACCAGGTACCACTAAACCCAATATTGCCAACGACCGAGAAGGGGCAGGCCCAGCTCGGGGAGAAGGTGGACTGGGAAGAGCACGGGCCCCCTGTCCGCATGCCTTTTC